CCATTATAAAGCCATGGATCGATCCCAGAATACCCAGTTAGAAGTGTCACTTAACAGAATCCGGGGAAAACTAAGGTAAAGATGCAGAGCATATATGTCTTGACTCATTTACTGCTTATTCTTTAATAGCTGTATGTGTGCAAATTTAGTAACTGTATGTGTATCATTTCAAAACAGTGTTACAATATTTTTATTGTTATAGGTCACTGTTCAATATCTGGGTCTAAGTTGGGGTGGAAAAGCATTATCTATTAGATAGAAGATTTAGAAATATAAAGTTCATGGAAGAGTATGGGACAAGAAGACGGTAAGTTATAAAAGGGGTCCATGGTAATGAAAGCACTGGAATTCAGGGGTACTTTGCAGATGTCTTTAGCAACCTCCCTGCCCCCTGTGACACTTAGCTGAAGGCTGACAGGACCAATGTCAATCAACTAGTAACAGTTGTGATGGCAGCAGTAGTCAGAGTAATAGGACAGCATCACATTATAAGTGGGAGCTCAATAAATAGTGTTTGATAGATTATCTAGTAGACACAAATTTGCTCATTTGAAACCTAGAGCACCGGGATCTTACATGTTTCAGCATTAAATTACTTCTGGGCAGGGAGGATTTAGAGGCATGGCTTTCTGATGGCAGCCAGATTTCATCAGTCACTCCAGACAAATCCATGAAGGTAGCCGAGAGCTTTTCTTCTTACCCACGCCGACATTTCTCCACCAAACACAATCCCTGACCAGCCACATGACATCACATGCTGCAGCCGAACTGCCATGCATCCCCCAAATTCCTGTAGCCCAGAATGAAGACCTGTACGTGCCCCTACAGAGATTAGGTAAAATGTCACTAAAGGAAGGGCAGACAGATATCATTGGGTTGTGTTTAACCCTTGTCTTGCAGCCCATGGGACCTCTAAGATTATTATCAAAGATGGCTGGGTGGGAAACAAGAGCAGGATGATGCCAAAGACTGGACATCAACAAGGCAGGGAATGATACAGCAGAGCCTTCCACTAATATTCTGGGAGAAGACTGCAGTGAACCCTTTAATATCCACAAATCCCTTCTTGCCTGGTGTTTTCACTTCTTCACAATCTGATTGTACTGGGCCTCCCATTTACAGGTGGAGTCTGGGCCTCTGCCCCCCTCGATCAGGGCTGGCCTTGGGGATTTGCTTGGACTGGACCTATAGAGCACAGAGATGGGGACGGTGAATGAGTTTTGGAGCCTACGCTCCAAGAGGCCCTCTAGCTCGAGCCTCTGCTCTCTTGGAAGGCTGCTCTCAGGGGAAATCTCTAGAGAATGAGCGAGGCCCAGCTATCGACCTGTTCCAGGCCTGTCTACCCCAGAGTGAAACACGACCCATGAGAGAAGCAAGGTTTGACTACTGGTAAAAACCACAGATCACCCCACAGAATTCTGAGGATAGCAAAGTCTTGTTTTGATGGTTAGGGTGCATTGTTTACAGCAAAAGATCACGAAAAAAGGCCAGCAAGGGTAGCTGAGCCTTTTTGTCTTTCTTCCTCTCTTTGTGTTTTTAAAGATTTTCAGAAAAATCAATCTAACCTAAAGAGATCATTTTATGTCTGTTTCCCTGACTTATGAGGTTAACTGGAAAGTCACAAAACATTATTTCTCATTCTCAACTTCGAAGTTCATTTGACTTTAATTAGAAAAACTACTCATTTTATATGAAATAAATAACACAAAGCTAAATTTAAATCTTATTCTAATGTGACTTAACACTGAATTATAAATTTAATGGTTGAGGGTTAAATAACCTTCGGAATTTTTCCCTGGGAAACCAACAACATTTGCAAAAGTAGGCTTAGGGATTTTTTTTCCCCCTGAAGGTTCTCAGTAAAGCAAAAGAGAACAACTCTGTTATCAAATTATCCTCAAAGCCTTAATTAAAGTCAAGTGCTAAGGGAGATTTCAAGTTCCTTAATTTGGGGGACTAATCTAATCCACAAAGGGAAACATCAGAAAACTATGCCTCAGTTCTTATTCATATACTTCATAGTGGAGCTTATTTATTTTTATTTATGTATTTACATATGTAAATATTTACATGACACAACAGTAAACAAATGTATTTCTACCTAAATACAGCGATAAGCCTGTTTCCACAGAAAATGCCGAATAAATGGCTGTTTTCTTATTTGCTTACTCATCAAAATTCTGACAAGCATGTCACGAGACTGTATTAGTTGGAAACACCCCAACATTTCTATTATAAAGTTTTCCCAAGATGTCTCTTGTGAAGCTGGGAAGAAATGTATATGTATATGGGTTCAAATATAACAGCAAAACCTGCCTGTAATGCCTACATTTGCAGCAGGAGCTATATTCAGGGTTACCATAGCAGCCACCCACACTCACACAGTGCTAAAGGGGGGGGCAGGGAAGACAGAAAAGCAATTAGCACAGAACAGAATCTATTGTTGAAAAGACAGAGGTACCCGGCCATGTAATTACAAGCAGGAATCCTGACTTTTAGTCTGAACCACTGTGTAATGATAGACGAGTTCCGAGCGCTGGAGTGTTATTAAATGTTTTTTCTCTAAACATATCTACCATCTGAACCCTCTGCCGTAACCTTTACAGATGCTGAGATTAGGGGGCGGCAGGAGGAAATATAGCTGGCCGTGCACAGATTAGAACTAATATGATTTATTATGCCTTCTCTGGAATATTTGGATTTATTGGAGCCAGGAAATTGGGTGGTTCTACAGATCTGGACCGGTTACTTCACTTTCTGAGTGTCCTCATCTATAAAATGGGCATAATACTACTACATACTTGAAGGATTTTTTGTGAGGATTCAGTGAATTCGTACAAATGATCAATTACTACATAAACAGTAATAACAATCAACAAGGAATAAATTTTAATACATCAATAAGAATTAGTAATAAATAATTTGTAAAAGTGAGGCTCTTGGTGCTTGACACATAGTAAATGCTCAATGAATGTTTGCCATAGTAATTACAATTATTCTATAATTATACATATATTTTATACTTGTAAGAGGTTGCTAAAACACTTGCCAGCTGACCACAGGCAAGACAAGATATTAAGATTCCTCCAGGACTTAAAAGCATAATACCTTTTCCAAAAGCAGTGCCTTTGAAAACACGATTTTGGCACAACAAAAAGATCAAGTATTTATAATACTAGCACATTCACCACCATTGGCAAACCCTGGTTATACAGCAAAACCAATCACCTATTAGTGCTAAAATAACCATGTAACGGGATTTGGGTTCAGAGAGTATTCTGGAATTTGTCTCAAGTCATTGGCTTGATCACATATGTATAGGCAGATCTTTGCAATTCATACTCGGATACAAATAACAACGTCAGATTTAGATGTGATGACAATGAATGAGAAGTATTTTGTCACTTCTGATTCACTTAAGTTTTAAACATTCATTTTAAGGTTGAATGCTTCATATTCTAAGAGAGATGGGACATGTAGTCAAGCAATTCAATGAATAGGAAAGAATATGCATGGATAAACAGATTTTATATCAAGTCTGTAGTGCCTTAGAATGGGAAGCAGAAGGCAAAGCTGAAGGGATAAAGAAATCCGGGGAAACTGGAGGAGTGGAGTTAGGAGCACACTGAAAGGTAAAGAAGGGAGTTGTAACTGACAAACCATACAGAAGCCAGAAACAGTGGAAGAGAAAATGGGTAAGATGGGATTTGATCTTTGACTCTAAAAAACTTTTTTTTTGATGGGATTTTTAGAAGTCCAGACTGTGAGGGTTAGAATTAGCTCAGCTTGAAAACTTTAGAAATGTTAAAATGAATGTACTTACAGCCTCCAAAAATTATTCTGCCATCGTGAGCGGTAAGTACAGTGCTATATTTTCCCTCCTAAATTGTCGCTTATTTAGTAATTTTGTTTCCAATCTCAGGTAGAAATGTCATAGGGTATTACTGTGCATTCTCTCTGCTTTTAGAGATAAGCAGACAGGACTGCATTAAGAATACCAGAAATATTTCCATAATCAAATAGCTCCTTGAGAGTAAAAATAATTCTGAGGGTTTTTTTTTAGGTCATTGGCAATGAACAGATTTGGTTTCAAATAGGTCCTAAGATCTCTTGTCAATGAGCTGAAATCGGAAGAAAGGAGCTATAGCTATTGGCACCACTGGAAAGGAGAACCCCAAAAGACATTTAAAATCTTTGAACTTTTTACTGTAGCCATGAGAAAGCCTGGAGAGCACACTTTGGGAGTCCAGCTCCATAGCTACAAGGCAGACCCTGGTAAGTGAGGGAAGGGCTTTGACAGCAGGAATGCTGGGGCCAAGAGGTACCTGTCAAGGCTGCCCTTCTCTCTACTCCCGTGAATCAGTAATGTGCTCAACCATGACCATTTACTTCCACCTAGAGGTCCTGGACAGCCACGGGAGGCCTGGCTCTCACCACCGAAATGATGGCAAAGATTCCAGAATAAAGGGAAAAAAACCATAATTTAATAGAACATTTTGCCTAGCTCTATGTGAAAATATTGAAACAGTAGCTGAGATATTTTGATGACATAGTTACCAATAACCAACAAAACAAACAAACAAAAATTCTAAAAAAAAAAACCAAAACGGTGCCCCTTTCCTGACCTCCACCAGAGAATATCAGAGCTTGAGTAGGCAGCTAAGAGGCCTGGATAGTTTTCTTAACAGGGCTATTACAAGATTAGGGGGACTGCTACAGGACAAATTTGTTCCCATTAAGCCCTATTTAACATAAAGACAAACATATTCTCAAATAGAAATGCTAATGGCTCTATTTTTTAATACAACCAACTACCGACACATAATCTCATGAGAGTCAACTGACTTAATTTTATCCACAGTCCAAACAGCTATTATTAAAAGTAAATTAAATGGCCTACAGAAAGCGGTTAATGCGACTTCCATCATGGCAGAGAAAAAGAATGTCTACACTGGGAGAATGAATAGAGAGACGAAGACTGGTCAATAATCCTTACTTACTGTCAGATACATGGCTGCATAGACGCTGAGAGCCGCTTCTTTGGATGGGAACGTCTTCCTGGCTCTCATGATGAGATCTGGGTTGCCCGTGCAGGCCTCTTCCCCACTTATGAACTGCGTATACTGCTGACATCCAAGCGCCGTATAGTTGGGCTTACACAGGGCAAGAAAATGTGGAGCCAGATTCCCTGTGACCACCTGCCCAGCGTTTACAAAAATATCCGTAGCAAAGAGCCCAAACGCATAAATACCTAAGGATGAAAGCAAACCACCATAACTCTGTTTGGTTTTGTTTGTATTTCGGTTGACCATAAGCCAACATGAAAATATTTTAGAAACTATGAAATAAGTCATACATACATACATATGGTTCCCCCCCATTTCACTTCTCTCTGATTCTTCGTTTTCTGGAGAGGTGGGAGTGTTAAATTATTTAACACATCGAGCTGTCTACCACTGGCTACAGTTTTACGCAATGTGGGTTTATAAGACATCAGATAAAAGAGGAAGATATATTCTGAGACTGTGTTTGGGTAATGCAATTTTTAAAAAGGAGACCTGTTTCTCTGGAGAGGGCTCAGTCTCACCTTCTACCAATGTGAGCAATCTTGATTTTTTCCCTATTTTGAAAATATTTTGCATCTTACAAACATAAAGTAAAGCAGTTGTCTCCCTTTGATTATGCCTCTTAAACCCATTCAGACTGATATTAACTCTGCTGGAGGTGACAATTAGCAGTAAAATCCAATGCCATTAGTTTTCATTTAAATATCGTGGAAAATCTTAAGTAAAGCAGAATGGTTCAAACTGATTTCTGTGCTGCTTTCATGAATACATTTTAAAAAGTCACATTAACACCTAGTAACTTAGTTCCACCTTATATTTTATGGTTGGACTTTAATTTATCAAATTTGGGGCAATTTTGTAAAAAATAATGCAATCAAAACAATGATTTTTCAATTATCTCCACAGCCTTAAAATTTGTTTGCTTTCGTTACCAGAATTTTATACTTATAAAATTAAGTATACACAGATTTTTTTTCCTCTTTTGTGAGGAATGTGACAGTTTAATCAAATTAAAAATATATATATATTTCTTGGGGTGCCTGGGTGGCTCAGTGGGTTAAGCCTCTGCCTTCAGCTCAGGTCATGATCCCAGAGTCTTGGGATCCAGCCCTGCATCGGGCTTTCTGCTCAGCAGGGAGCCTGCTTCCCCGCCCCCCACTGTCTGCCTCTCTGCCTACTTGTGATCTATGTCTGTCAAATAAATAAATAAAATCTTTAAAATATATATATATATATATATATATATATATTTCTAAATTCGATGCCTTTGGTCATTAGAACCAAAATTTATTTTTCTTCTTAGGTAGAGTGGGCAAAATAAATTCCTTGGCACCATTTTCAGTTAAATAGACAGATACAACCTTTGAGGATGTGGTACCAATGTGAAGAAATTTGTTCTTAATTTTGGGAAATAAAATACGACCTTTTTACATTATGCCAGGAGAATACAACCCAAACAATCTGTTTGTTAAAAATCATATAGTGCTATGATAATAACCAGACATTTCATTTCTTAGTTATGAATTTTTGGATTGTTTGTTTGCTAAACCTTTATACATAATTGTTGGCTGTTATATAGGAAAGTCATCAGGGAAGTTGTGCAGGATCAAGTAATTTTCCAGCATCAGAAACATGGCTATCCTTTTAATTTTTGAAATATTATATAAGATTATAAAATGCTCAGGCACACAAACCTGCACATAGCACAACTCTGTGTGTATACAATGGCAATGAAACAAAGACCTTAGTTCTTTCTTTATCTAAAAATGTTAAAAGAAAATAATAAAAAGCTCTTTCTTTATATCTTCCCAGAATTGCATGAGTCATACAAGTAAATGTTATCAAAAGCAGAAACTTAGGAGAGGCAGAGAAATGAAAGAGAATGGAGGAGCTTAAGAAAATGTTCATATAGGTAACCTCTCCTTCCAAACATCATGGCCCAGCACAGGAACCTAAATGGCAAGTCTTCATCTCTACTCCCTTGAAATCTAGGCTAAGATGTAACTCATTTTATTTAACGAAACCATTCTCTTTACCTGCTGTAATAAGTTTTGCTGTGTAAAATAGAGAGAAGTATTTGATAAAGATATGGAAATGTCTCCTGATATTTGTTAAGTTCCCAAACGTGCTTTTGAATTAAAATATTCAGTGCATCAGGCCCAAGGCCAATATTGTAGCTACAAAGATACTTATTAAAATGAGATCCCGTGAGTGTATCCATGGTGCTGACCACCAGGATAAAATCCCTACAAAGAATGATGCCCTATTATGCAGTAATGTTTTGCTTATAAACTTCCCATTTTAACAAACTTGAAATATCCAAATCATAATGAACAAGAGAGAAGAAACAAATCAAGAACTCCTAAATATTTTATAAAATCATATAATGAGAAACACAAAGAGATTTAAAGCATGCTTTACTTTGTGCCATATATTCTTTAGAAATATGTGTGCAAATGCAAAAATACATCCACTTAAGTAGGCGTAATAAAATTTGCTTGAACAGTATTTTGGAAAGTGTCAATTTCATCATTTTTAGTTTTGAGTATATTATTGCTTATTTTGTTATTAAATGACTCATGCAAAGATCAATGAGTCAAGAACAAAGTATTGATGCATGTAAAAAATAGCTTTTTAAAGTTTCATATGAGTTGTCATCACTTCAACAGTATAAATAAGGGCTTTGGAGATGTATAACTTGATGGCAATTAAAAAAACAGTCTTAGATATGGAGACCTTTTGTCTTTAGAGAGACACAAAGGCAAGATGACATTTGATTAGTCTTTAAGTGGGTTTATATATAGATTAGCTGATCTATGCATGATATCTCCAAGGTCTTCAACTTAATCCCACTGCTATGAGAAATATATTGAAGGGTACTGGACCTTAATCTCAATCTAAATACAGATAAAAATTTATTTTAAATTTTATTTAGCATATACAGACATACTTTTTTTATCTGATAAATACAGGAAATGATAATTTATATTCAACTTTATTGTGTCAGTTAAAAAATTTGTCTTGGCCAAGTTTCTACTGACTTGAAATGATTTGTAATAATTCATCAATGTTTATATGTATTAGTGCTAGAATTTCAGACTGAAGGTTAAAGTATCAGTAAATTCTTTTCTAAAATTGAAAAAAAATTAATTTAATTCCAGTATAGTTAACATACAATGTTATATTAGTTTCATATAGTGATAGTCTTTCGTTCTAATAAAATCACTAATTCGTTTTTGTTCACATTAAAAAAACCCTAGAGGCAGTACATGGAGAGCTACATCTGATAATTAACAAACACAACACATCTTTTCTCGGCCAACCTATTTTTCTTGTCTTCCATGATGTTCACCAATCTAACTAATTATCATTTCTCCCCACTGTTTCTGAAATTTCATGAACACAGTAAATCATTTATTTTAATTATATAATTTTTAGTTTCTTAAAAAATATTAAACATCCAAATGTGGTGTTCTTTTTTTTTTTTCTTAAAATAATATGGAAATGACATGTGAGCTGGAGCCATATGAGAAAAATTAGTACGCAATGTTATTTTTAAAACCAAACTGAGACCTTTCAAATAAAATATAATCCAATATTTGTATAGTCTTAAAATGCTGATCATTTTAAGGGTTAGCTTATACATAAACATGGTTTCCGCAACAATAAAAATAATTCAATGAACACATACCCAGAAATCGTACAGTTCGCCGCACCAGTGGGTTTATATAGCAACAATCTCCAGTTAAAATAGTTTTCTCCTGGTTTTCAAAATCCCGTGTGGCCAGTTGTAGGCAAAACACTGCAGTTTCTCCCACTATTATCTTGCAAGGAAATAAAAGGTTAAAGAACATTAGAATTTAAGCAGTATAAATATAGAATAATTTTATTTTTTAAAAATGCAAGAAAGTAAATCCTTTGAGTGGTAATGATCTCAATATAAAACTGAATCATATTTGCTTAACTAAGCCCTTTTTTAGAACCTTATCCCTATGCATACAACCCATATTTCTCTCAACTCAAGGGAGTATTAAACTAATAAATTATGAATACAAATGGACCATATCATTTTTGTTTTCTGGAAGACTTCATCAAAATAAATAATTTACACAGGATCTTTGCTTTAAGGATACACTTATTTATTTTTGGTATGTAACTGAATTTCATGTTTTTTCTTTAAGTGATTACGTCTTGCTTCAATTTGACACTGCCACAGAAATCGGAACAATTTTCTATGAAAATATTTTTGAAAGGATCAGATAAAGACACTCTAAAGTCAAATTACATTAACACTTTTATAACAAGAAACAAAATCAATTCAAACGTGCTTGGCCTTGAGGTCATCCTTTGCCAAAATCTTATTATTCTGAGACAGTATTAAAAATTATAGTCATTAATATATTCTTTATATTTTGTACATATATGTCATTTTCATCTTCATAAAAAAAGGAAACAGAAAATATTGTCATACTTCTTTTATAATTGAAAAAACCAAGACTTGAAACTCAAATGAATTGCTCAAAGTCACAGAGCCAGTAAGGAGAAAAATAAAAATCCGGATACAGATTCTTTGCTCTACTATGTTGATTTACTGAAGGACCTGCCTATCTTCCCTTGGTGTTAATACCATTTGCAGTGGTTTTCATACATGGCTTTTAAAATCACCCAGCAAGGTATTAGGTACTAGAGAATGTGTTAATATTCCATTCCATGAATGAGGAAAGGAAGGATTAGGGAGGTTAAATAATTTGCTCCCCATCAAGCCAGTCAGAAGGCAAGCAGAAATTGCTGACTTGGCCTCAGATCTTTGGACTTTATTTAATATAATGATCAACAACACCAGAAATAAGATTAAGAGAAAAGAAATGGAGCAAATGGTATGTTGCCTAATTTGTCATTATTAAGGTTAGTTTTCAGTACATCTTGTCTAGGTTAAGTAACATTCTAAACAGAGAGTCCCTGAAATGGCCTGGAAAAATGCTTTTGGGGTCTTGATGAAAGGTAATACCTGTAATTATAGGATATTCAAAATTGTAAGTGGGAGATACAGAAGGATTTCATAGGAGATAAAACGTCTGACCTAGTTCTACTCCAATATAAGTAACAGATTATAAGGCATTTCTTAATTTTTGTTTTTTTTTAATTTTATTTATTTATTTGAGAGAGAGAGAGAGAGAGAGCATGAGAGGGGAGAAGGTCAGAGGGAGAAGCAGACTCCCCATGGAGCTGGGAGCCCAATGCAGGACTCAATCCCGGGACTCTGGGATCATGACCTGAGCCAAAGGCAGTCACTTAACCAATGGAGCCACCCAGGTGGCCCAATTTTTATTCTTTCTAACTTTTCCTCTTTTTTTTAATTATATCTCTTCTTCCAGGGAGGTCAGGGTTCAAGGTTGTATCAGTACATGTTGAGCTGAATTCCATTAAAGGAGTCCAATCTTGCCTATCTGGTGGTAAGACTGGGCTGAATTAAGAAAAGCTAGAGTTTATAGTCTCCCAAATCCTCCTGAAATTTTTAACTTTGGTGAAGTAGAAGAGGTGTGTGATGAAACAGTTCATCTGGCCTTAAGAGGCGCAGGACGTATTTTCCACAGGTTCGTCAGCGGCCAGTAGGGCCCTAGGAGAAGCTGACAAACAAACAAGCTGTGTGCCTGACATCTTCTCATCTTCCTTTCTGAATCATTCTTCTGCTGCTCTTTGAAAGAATTTACTTCCTGAATTTTCAGTTTCAACTTCTTCCAGGTCTGTGTTGCCCTTCAGTGTTCCAAATTCTAAGAATCTACCACCTACTCCACATCATGAGCGTCTTGGCTCCCAGCCTGATTCCGCCCCCTTAAGCCTTCTCTCGCCCAGAGCAGGTACCAGGGGGTCTCCACCCACTCCTGGCTCTACCCCCAAGTACACTGACCCCCTCAACTCGGTCTGATAATCTATGATACACAAAATTCCTCTGAATGTAACAGATACCCAATAATTCTTATTAAATGCATATGTGAATTCCATCCTCATTAGATCCGAAGGTCTCAGTCAGCCTCTGACCTTTTGCCTGACTCCTAATAACCAACTCCTGCCGTGTTCCTGTGATGAAGGCTCTACCTTACACCTTAGTTCCTTCCTATAACCAGATCCTGGATGCTTGTCGCTGACGTGATAATGTGTTTGGTTACCACGTTCCTACCAAACTAAGACCTGCCTTGTCTGGGTCCCTCTTCCTAGGGCTCTTCTTCCTGGTTTTCCTAATGCTGACCCCTTGCCTGGGCGCATGTCAGCACACTGCACATTTCTGAATTCCCTATTTTTGTCTTCAGCCTATCTGCCAAAACACCATCTCAATCAATACTGTTTGGCTGCTAATAAAAGAAACTCTCTCAAACTGGGTTAAGCAAAATTGGGAATTTATTCTAGGGTTTGGAGGGTTATCTCAGAACTCGGGGTATGGGACTCAGGATCAGATCCAGGAATAAAAATTCCTCAGGAATCCAGGTAACTACTCTCTCCATCTCACTCCCTGTCTCTGGAGTCACACTGCCTCTCAGCTCTTCTCTGAATGCCTGACTCATTCTCGTCTTTCTGCAAACCAGTTCTCCTCTGGTTTGATTGCCCAACAGTTGTCAAGAGTCCTGTTTAGAACATATCGGCTTAGTTCAGGGAAAGTTCAATTAATTCGATTTACTGTGTCCCAACTCCACATCCCTAAGGGGTTCCATTGGGGACAGGTTCTCTTCTGGTCCAATTCACCCAAGTTAAGAAGGTGTGTCATGGTGCACGGAAACTGCCTCTCTGGGCAGAAATCCTATTTCTCAGCAAAAGGGAGTTGCACTGATGTCTACCTCAACTCTTATCCATCCCATCTTGCTGGACCTCCTCCCTCCCATGCTAGTTCTTTCTCTAGACTAGCCCTTTCCACCATGTTCTCTGGGTACTGCATTCTGTGTGCCTCCCGGGACTTCATTTCATCAAATGTAGTGGCCTCGATCCTAGTGTCTGCTCTCCTCTTGTGGCTGCACCTACTTCACATGCTCGACTTATGCCTCCCCCACTGTGATAGCTGTGAAACTCCTTAGCCAAATCGTACTCTCTCTTAACCTTTCTACCCGTCCCAACTTCCTAAGTCCAAACTCCCATTGTTTACTACTATCAGCAGATTCATGTAACAAAAAGAAAGCAATTTTTATTACGATGTATACTTAGATACCTTCTGAGTTAAGGGCTCCATGTTAGGCATGGCTGTTTAAAGAAAGCTTTATAACCCAGTTGGGTGGACACAAGTAAAATAATGAATAATGGTATGAGTCTGAGTTTTAACTTGTTTGGACAATAACTGCCAGCAGCACATTTAGGAAGAAATGTTGCTGAGTCCCTGGAAGCATCTGTGGCCACGGTGAGACGGACCACTCAGATTGGCCTGGGGCAGGGAGGCTTTCCAGCTCACGCACCCAGCTGCTGTTCCACTGGGACCACACTTCCTGTGGGCTCCTTCAAGCAAATGACTACATATGGTGGGGGCACTCAGGAAAGCCTGTTGCCCTGAGATGTGGGATATCTCTGACTGGCAATTTTGATTTGAAAACTGCCAATCAGCCTGGCCAATTCTTTCTTGAAACTGTGCTGTGTTCTGAGGGGCTGGTGACCCTGTTCCCCTACTTTCCCCCTTCTCTTTCACGGAAGTCATCATAGTCTGAGGGCTTTCACAGCCTTCTCTGGCCCAGCCCTCTCCAAACCTTTATCTTCTACAGGTGTAAAGCAGAAAGCCCTTGTCTGATCCTCAGTTCTACAGGAAGCCCTTAACAGTCCCTGTGCAAGGTTGGTGGTGTCTTATTCCTGGTCCGTGTAAATCTGATATGGAATGTGACGATGCCCGTGAAAGGTTCAGGAGCCGGTACAAAAGATGGTACTCAATGGCTCACCATTTTACCTACCCAGTCAGAGTTGTGTCTGAGCAACCATGCTATTCCTTGAGTCATAGTCCCCTCCTAAATGCAACCTGACAGTCTATGTGCTTGGAGGCAAGAGCTGTTTTTCTGAGCCTCAACCCACCAGGTAAATGGAAGCCTTACATTCCACAGCTGGAGTACCATGTTTCCTGTTATACTCCATCCTCTGATGGAGTAACTCCATTATGCTTTATTGAACTCAGTGTTGACATTATGAAGTCTCTTGAGCCCTACCTTGCTTATGAAGTGGGACCTACACACACACCCTTTCTAAATAACTGACCCCATCTCTATCCCATCCTTGAGGATAGAACTGGTAGTGGTCCTAATCTGATCCATTACCCTGCTTGGCAGTGAGTAAAAAGCTCCATCTTTCCAATGAATAGCAACTTACAAGGATGTAGGAACAAATCATTAATCCCCAAATATAAATGCTCAAATGTTTGTTATAAGCACATAATATTGTTCTCATGCCTCAATTCCCAGAGGCTGACCCTCTAGTATCTATGCTCCTTAATGACAAAATAAATCACTGTAGACTTTCATCAAATGACAAACTCCGAAATAGCTTTATGTTTTCATTTATGAAAACCTGATTAGAAATTGCTCTCTCTTTCAACTTCTGATGATTCAAAGATATCCATGCATAATTGTTTTGAACTTGGTACAAGAAAACCGTGCAGATGTAAAGATGTAAGGCAGCAGTAGAGGTCATGCAATCAGTGTGATGGTAGTTGGCATGTCTCATACACTTCAGATATATGTGAAATAATATCTGAAAAGTAGCTTTATCCATAAAGGTATAGTCATGAGACAGACTTAAATTTTAAAGTGCAGGAAGGCATTGGGTTTATATTTAGGTTTCTATCAAACACACTGTCCATTCTTGG